TGAGGGCTGTGTGGACTGTGAGGGCTGTGTGGATTGTGAGGGCTGTGTGGACTGTGAGGGCTGTGAGGGCTGTGAGGGCTGTGTGGACTGTGAGGACTGTGAGGGCTGTGAGGGCTGTGTGGACTGTGTGGACTATGAGGGCTGTGTGGACTTGAGGGTTGTATGGACTGTGAGGATTATGAGGACTGTGAGGGCTGCTTCAAAGTGGGGGAAACCACCACAGGATATACCTGGTGTTTCCAGAAGCAATCACATAATGAACTTACTTGGATTGAATTTCACTCAAAAGATTGCAGTGTTGTGATTTCCAAATCTCATTTTTGGATTCTATTTTGATTAAAGAAAACATAGGCCATTATAAAAGGAAGTAATAGTTCCACATAGGAAAGTACCTGGATGCAGTTCTTAGAATAGACTAGAACATAGAAGCTTCTAGAACACTCATTGTCTGACTCCAAAGGTCTTCCCGTCTCTATTCCCTAGCCAGGACTGTAATTCATCCTTTAAAAGAACTATTTTTGCAAAATTCTTTCCATTATTGAATAATTTCTTCCGTTTTTAGTTTACACTAGGTAATGTACTTGGCTCCACTGTCAACACTCTTGGCACCAGCAGCCAGAAAATTAAAAGACATATTGGGATGGGAAAGTCTGCAGTTAGAGATGTCTCTAAAGAACTGAAGAGCAATGACGTCAGTCTGGAGACTAAGGAGTGCCTGATACATGCTATGGTCTTTGCAATCACTTGCTATGCATCAGAGAGCTGAACAATGACTAGGGATGATAGAAGGAGAATTGATGCCTTTGAGCTTTGGTGCTGGAGAAGAATATTGAGTGTACCAAGGACTGCTAGGAAAACAAACAGGTTAGTCCTGGAGAGAATGAAACTAGGCTGCCTCCTTGGAGGCAAAGATTCTGAAGTTTCGTCTGACATGCTTTGGACATGTTGCAAGGAAGGACCAGTTCTTGGAGAGGGATGTCATGCTTGGGAGGGTGGAGGGACAGTGCAGGAGAGGAAGACACTTGATGAGATGGATTGATTCAGTGACGGGAGTAATGGGGGTGAGTGTGTCAGAGATGGTGGGATTGGCACAGAATAGGGCAGAAATTAGCGCGGTTGTACATAGTGTCACTATGAATCACAGGCAACTGGACGGAACATAACAACAACAATGTGTTCATTTGGAGAGCGGTGGTGGCTTACTGGTTAGAAGATTCACTGTCAACCTAAAGCAACAAAGTTCATCAGCTGCTCTGTGAGAGAAATAAGTGCAATCTCCTGTGTGATTTACTGTCTCTGAGAACCTGCTGTACAGTCCGCTTTAAGTCAGTTCTTACTTGATGGTTTTTATTGTTTTTATATGACGTCCAGTCCCTTGCGACTCATAGCACCCCTATGTACAATAGCGCTGAACCCTGCTCTATCTTGAGCCAATTTCATTGTCTCTGACATACCAGTTCCTATTACCCCAGTCACTGACTTCATAGTATACAACAACGACATCGCTACAACAATGTGTTAACTTAAATGTGATTTCTTAAGGAAAGCCCAGTTAAAATGCTCCTAATGTATACCGTAGAGCTCTCTGATGTCCTAGTGGGTTAGAAGTTGCACTAATAAACCAAAGTCAGGCAGTTTGCATTTGCCTGTTGCTTGGAGGCAGAAAGATGGGCAATCTCCTCCTATGGGTCAGGTTCACAGGTCATCATGAGCTGTAGTTGACTCAAGGCACATAATAACAACAACGTTTATTATTAGGTTAAGACAGTGGTTTACACCATGGACTAAAATGGTAAATGCCAAAAAAAAGTGGTGGGTGCAACTTACTGTTGTATATATTCAAGTCAGGACAGACCCCCAGTTGGCTCTCCAGTGGGTTTTCAGAGGCTGTAAACCAAAGAGGAAATTGCCCATCCTCTCCTGTGGAGGATTTGAACCATGTGACTTTGGGATTGCAGTACAACTTCTTTCTACTAGGCCATTGGAGCTCCCCTAGATGAAATTACCAGCAGCGTATCATCCTTGAAAAGTCCTGATAACTCAGTGTTTGGGACTTCATTCCACATAATAAAATTTGTTTTAGGCAGATTATGTTTTATAGGATACTTCTTAAGCTCAAGGAACTGAAGAACAAATTCAAACCTTGAGTTGCTATAACCAAGGATGTTGTAGGCTGAATATTAAATGATCCAGGAAGTATTAAAAGAAGATGGAAGGAATATACTGAGTCACTGTATCAAAAGGAATTGGCAGATACAGAAGAACTTAATGACATAACATTTGAGCAAGAGCCTATGGTGATGAGGGAAGAGGTTCAAGCTGCTTTGAAGGAAATAGCAAAAAATAAGGCCCCAGAAATAGATGGTATACCAATTGACGGATTTCAGCTAACAGATGCTGCCCAGGAAGTGCTCACCAAGTTGTGCCAAGAAATCTAGAGAACAACCACTTGGCTAACTGACTGGAAGAGATCTATATTTGTTCCCATTCCAAAGAAGGGTGACCCAACAGAGTGTGGAAACTACAGAACAATCTCATTGATTTCACATGC